CAGAAGGCGGTACTTGTTTTCCTGTAATGCTTAGCCGCTTGGATCAAACGTAAATATTTTTAAAATTTATTTTTTAGAAAAAAATTTTTGGATATAGTGTAGTGTACCGGTGGTAAAAGTTCGGGACGTGACATATGTCATTCGATTCGACAAGCTGAGTCGAACGGTATCACTCACTATTTTAGGAAATGATTCTGGACCTAGTTATAGGTCACTGAAAATCGAAAAACCATAGGGGGGAGTAAGCCCAACTTTGGGGTGAAAATTCTAATATGCAAATAATAGCTCATTCGAAAGAACTCTTCGGGCTGAGTCGAATGACACAAAAATCAGCTTGATTGAACAAGTTTGAGTTGAGATATAGGGCTCGAAATGGACAAAAACCATGGGGGGATTTTGGGTCAAAAATTCGATTCTACAAATGTTAGCTCATTCGAGAGAGCTCGTCGAGCTGAATCGAATGACACCAAAACCATCTTGATTGCACAAGTTTTGACAAAGTTACGATAGAAAAACTACAAACATAAACTTATGGGTCGTCGGCGAGGCGCTTGTGCAAGACCCCGCGCTTCGCGCGGGGTCTTGCGGCACGCGCCTTGCGGGGAGTCTACGGGCGCTGGGTCTGGGCTTGTAACATAAACCTATTCCTATCTCCCTTCCTCTTGACGTATTTGGGGCCTCCGTAGCAGCAAAAATCTCCACAGATGCCATAGGTAAGGAGCTAAAACAAACGTCATAATTTTGTAAAATCAAGTCGGATTTTGTTGATTTTGGTGTCATTCGACTCAGCTCGACGAGCTCTTTCGAATAAGGATTTTCGAATTTTTGCATTTTCGAATTTTTCACCCCAAAAAAGTGCTTGGTCCCCCGTTTGGTTTTTCGATTTTTCAGGACCTATAACTCGGTCTAGAATCATTTCCTAAAATAGGGAGTGGTACCGTTCGACTTAGCTCGTCGAGACGAATCGAATGACATATGTCACGTCCCGAACTTTTACCACCGGTACACTACACTACAGCCAAATTTTTAATAAAATTTTGTGAAATAATTTAAGATTTGGTCGTTTTCTCTGCCTTCCGGTTGCTCGCTCGTCTCCTGTAAATAAAATAATGAATAAAAGTTTTATTCTTTTAATTTCTAGGTCTGCGGAACAGGAGAAGACAATAATGTTCGACAGCAATACAATGAAAACACAGCTTTTATTGATGGATCTATGGTAAGCATTGGTGCTCGGATCTGATCCGGGTGGATTTTTTGGATTTTGGGTACATATCCCAAATTCGTCTCAAGAAAATTTATAGCCGGGAACAATGTTCCGGCTTACAAAAATAATGGCTTCGCCTCTTCGAAAGATTCAAACGTTTAGACAAAAATTAAAGTTTTGTCGCTGAAGAAAACAAAAATGGGGTTGCGGCGCGACAGGTGTGAACCGCAGTTGTCGGGATTGAATTAGACTGTCCCGGGAAGCCCTAAATTCTTCTTCAGAAAAGTGGTCCAACTCTCTAGGGCGAGTGGACGGAACCAAAGCTCTTTATTGACGAGCTATTGAAGTTGCCTAAGGGCGGCAAAGGAATATCAAACAAAAAAAGGAAAGAATAATCAAATTAAAATATATTTATTCAAAAGGACCTTAAACTTGGGTAATTAAACCATAAAATTAAATGAGTAAAAAATGAACTTAAGTTTGGCCAATTAGTTAAAAAGAATTAAAAGGATTAAAGGCCAAAACCTAAGTTGGAAAAATTAACTAAAGCGCAGGTGGGGAAAAAATGTAAAAGTGAAGGAGAAATAAACACAGAGAATAAAGCTTAAAATAGCTAAAACTAAATGAATAAATAAAATGATTAAATAAGCATAGGAGAAATGATCAGAAATGGGGTTAGCACAAAAGGGTGTGGCTAACAAAAGAGATATGGGCAACTGGTACAAACGATTAAATAATTAGACGGTGCAAAAGATCACCAATAAAAAATCAAAAATATTTAATCAATTATGGCAAACGTCGCTTCGGCGACACTGGGGCGCCGGCCAATAGCAGCGAGCATGCCATTCATCTGAATGCCCATAGTTGCGGCAGAGCATATTGATTCTCCAATGCATATTGAGTTCTCTGTGGGTTCTCCTTGTATTATACTCAGGCGGTAAATATTTTTCCCCTCGATTTTGGTTGCGAATAGAGAGTCGCATAGCGCGGATAGAAGTTTGAAATAAAGCGGAGAAGATTGAAAAAATGAATTGGATACGGTGAACACGATTTTAACATGCGTGATAATCCAATAGATAAAAGTAAAAGAAAGAGCAGTCCCGATCCTGATAAAGTTCCAGAATTGACGGGAGCATTCCGCTTTATTAAAGTTGCCGGCGCAGCACAATTCTAAATTGGCGAATTCGCTGGGGCTGATTATTTTAACTCCCTCCTTAATACATGAAATTTGACATTTTGGGCATGTCACATTAAATTTGGGCGATCCATTGATGGATGCAAAACAGAAGATTGATAATGCCACGTTTAGTAGGGTAGACACGAGTGCTCTTGATTTGCTCCTCGTTGTTATTCGATGTCCGGCGTTAGTCTTTGGGTCCCGCACGGAAGTTTCTTGAGTTCCTTCGGTCGCTGGGTCGACTTGAGGTGGGACAATAAACTCTTGTTCGGTTGGTTTTATTTCTAGAGGGCACACGCTATTGTTTGGACGCGTGAGAGTGTTGCCATTTTGCGGTTTTATTTTTACTCTCCTGGTTGCTCCAGGTTTCCCTCCTAATTTGACGATACGTCCCATGGGCCATAAATTCCTCGGAGTATGTTTTTCTTCTACAGTTAAAAGTTCGCCAATCCTAGGGGCGGATTGGGTTTCCAGTCTCTTTCCTTTATGGGCGGTTTGAGTCCTGGACTTTATTAGAATAGGTCGAGCTAATGATGGACGCTCAATTTGTTGCGCAATCGGTTTGATAGGAAGTAAACCATTTTGGGCGGTTTCTAGTGGGTAGTGTTTAATCTCGTTTATGTTTTGCTGTTGCGCAATTTTTATTAGGAGACCAGTGGTTAAAAAGTCCTTTGCGGGGATTGCGGAGTTTTCCTACTAGATGCTTGAGAAATAGAGAGAAACTCGGGGCGGCGATTCTTTATAAGTAAAGAAGGTTCGCGGCCAGGTTTGATGAATTTAGTTTTCGGAAATTGAGGAACCCAAATTGTAATTCTTATTTCATCCCATGAGTGAAAACTCTCTGTATTGATTAGAGTGTTGGTTATTTGAGACTCAGCGGTGGAGTCGGAATTGGTTAAGGTTCTGATTTCCTTGGCGCGGTTTGTTATAAAGACCGGTTGGTGGTCCACATCTTGAAGCCAGCTAAGGGCAATGGTTGAGTCACTCCAAATGAAGGGTTTATCTAGTTCTCGTTGTAATTCCTTTTGGATTAATTTGGTTGCTCTAACTTCCGCTAAAATTCCTAATAGTTCTAATTGCGGTATGTTGAGTGTTGAGTTTGCTTTCAATTGGCGCAAACGATTTTTTAAGAGGAACAAGGCGGTTCGCTCCTTTGAAAGATGATGCCTTTTGGCGGCAGCTAGGATGTACGGAAAACTAATAGTCCCAAATGAAATTCTCTTGAATCGATCGGCGGCTAAGTTGGACGGCGAGAGAGGTTGGTCCATGTTTTTTAGCCAAAGGAATTTACAGAATTCTCGATCCGATTCGATTAATGAGATTTGATGAAAAGCCTTCTCGATATCGGCCAAAACGGGGATATTGGTTTCCCGGAGGATGAGCAATTGGTTAATTAAGTTGTCAAGTAACACTGGTCCTCTAAAGAATGATTGGTTGAGTGAGGGAAGTCCTTTCGGATGAGCGCTTGCATCATAGACTAAGCGGATTTCCCCTTTGTTAAATACTGCATGATGCGGGAGGAAGTGTTCCTGCATGTCCGGGTGGCATTGGGTGAATTCAATTACTCCGCGTTTAAGTTGGTCCTCTATTGCTTTCTGGTATTCCTGGGCTATATTGGGCGCCCCTTCTGTTCGTTTGAGTACGGATGATAAACGTTTGTAGGCCATGTCAAAATTGGAGGGTAATTCTAATGAGGATCCGGAAGTTCCTTTTGGTGATTTCCGAGGAAGTCCGGCCGTGTATCTCCCGTCCGGGTCCTGTGTGATGGACTGTTCGACTAATCTATTGGCGATTTCGTCGTCCTTATTTTCTGGGTTGGCGGTAATCCCCATAGACTCAAGGTTCCCAAATTGCTCTATTTTATTACTGGCGGGCATTTCTTCCGGTGAGCTGTGCACGGCAGAAAGAGAAATGCAGGTCAGCGAGGTAGGTGAAATATAATGGGGTAATTCACCGCAGAGCATCGAACCAAAATGCGTTTTGATAATGTGCAGATTTCTTCCTATTTTCCTGGATCCGAGGAAGAATCTCCAGAACTCTCTAACTCCTAGTAGAATTTCTGGTTCCCTATTTTTGACGGGAATGTTTTTGAGGTCTCGGTAGTTAGTAGGGATCCGAGTTCCATCCCATTGAATACACGGAAATGCAGGGACGATTTGCGGAATTGAGCAAAATACAGCTTCTTCCCATCTCCCGTTGGGCTTATGGAGCCTAATCTTGTGTCCAGTTGAGCGAAATTTGACTTTATCGGCGCCAAAAACGCGTACTGAGTGATTAGAGGTAGAAATTCTCGGTGGTCTTAAACGGTCGACCAAAGACTGAGAGATGTAGGAAGTTTGGGAGCCGGTGTCCCAGAGACCAACAGTAGTGTAAATTGGTCGATTATTCGCAGAACTTAATTTTAGTTTGCATGTCATCAGAAAGGTGTGAGGTTTTGACTCTGTGGCGGTCATAGCCATTTCTGGGTTAGCGGGAACACTCGGGTTTGTTCCGGGGTGATTTTCAGAATGTATTCGCGAATTTGTATAAATTTTAGCTGGTTGGTGAGTCAGACTATTAACCGGTGAAAGGTTTTCATTCCCTCGAAAAGAGTTATTTTGCTGGCTAGTAGGGTGACTCTTTCTTTTGTATTGCTCCCCTTTTTGGCGGGTGCAGATAATAAAGTGGTGCTTGCCGCCGCAGTTCCTACATCTTTTGGTCGATGTACACTGGCCTATTTTATGTCCTTCGCGTAAACAATTCAAACACCTGCGTTGAGCCTGCAAGCGGGTTTTGCGGCTTTCGGGTGTTTGGAATTTGCGGCAAACTGAAGGGAGGTGATCTCCAGTACAAAGTGAGCATTGGCCGACATTCCTTTCAATGGCTGTGAATGTGCGGGTAAAGTTGGATGATGGCGAATGTGCTGGCCGGTGACTCTTTGATTGGCGAGTCGGCTGACTATATTCCCTTTGAATGGACGGGACTCTCAATCTCTTTGTGCAAATTTCCACTTCCTCTCTTATTGCTACTTGTTCTAAAAGGAAATTCCTAAGTTCCTTATGTGTCCATTCTCCGGCTGGTGAACTTCGTTCCCTCTCTATTATTTTTTCAATAAGAGTGGAAGGAAGTTTGGCCTTAATTGTGGTGACTAGTAGGGACGCGTCTTCTTTTGTGCTGAAATTGCATTCTAATTGTCTGCAAATTCTTTCTATGTTATCGCAAAAGGTGCGAAGCGAATCAGCGGTGTCCTTTGTTGGTGGTAATTGAAGAAGCTCTGATTGGAGAGTTTCTCTGAGGTTCCGGGTACTACCATATCTTCCTTTTAAACATTCCACTATAATCGGGTAATTTTCGGCAATTCTCGGGTATCCTTGGATGGTCGATTCCGCTGATCCCATGAGTGAATTGCATAAATGGTGGATTTTGAGCGCGTCTGGGATGTTTGGATTGTCATGGATGGCCAACTCAAAACATTGCCAAAAACTGGTCCATTTTTCGGGTTCCCCAGAAAATTTCGGAATTTCCATGGGAGCGATTTTAAAAGAGTCGTATGCTGGGTTACGCGGTAATTCTTGTTGGTTTGGTCGCTGGGAATGATGCGAGTGTCGGGATCGTATGGAGGCGCTCCGTGATCTAGTCCTGGACTGAAGATTGCCGGAAGTGCTATCCCGTTCGACTATTTCATCGATTGTGTCGATGATGGCCAGGACTTCCACGACCCATTCGGTAAAATGTTTGTAGCCCGCTAGGAGGGGGTCATCCGGTGCCGGGCGTTGGAAGTTTTCATAAATTCTTTCCTCCGCCGGTAGGTTTTCCCGTTTCATTTTTCTCATAAAATCCTGCCATTCCCGGTTTAAATTTTCTATCCTTACGGTATTACTGGCCAACTGCTTCCGAAGAGTGCGGAGTCTTTGTAGTTGCTGTTCTTCTAACACCTCTTGTTGGGCGGTGATGATGTTGGTAGCTTCATTGAGGTTGGTTTTGAGTTGTCTGATGGCTGGGACGATCATTCGGCGGATTGGTCCCGACGACATGTTGAATGAAATTATGTAGATTTGTTGAGTTGTGACGGTAGATAGATGAGTAGTGTAGACTGTAGAGTTGTGATGGTTGAGAAGTTCTGTAGTTGAAGATCTAATTGGGCGATCTGGTGAGTGTAGAACTGATGAGTCGAATTGAAGTGTCGACAGAAGAAGTAGTGTTGAGTTGGCTGGAAGTTGCCTGTCGGTTGAAAAACAGAAGAAAAATTTAATTTAAATTAATTAGAAAATTTGATGAAGATAATGAAGAGAAGAGAAGGGTCCCGGGTCGTGGCACCATAAAGTTTTGTCGCTGAAGAAAACAAAAATGGGGTTGCGGCGCGACAGGTGTGAACCGCAGTTGTCGGGATTGAATTAGACTGTCCCGGGAAGCCCTAAATTCTTCTTCAGAAAAGTGGTCCAACTCTCTAGGGCGAGTGGACGGAACCAAAGCTCTTTATTGACGAGCTATTGAAGTTGCCTAAGGGCGGCAAAGGAATACCAAACAAAAAAAGGAAAGAATAATCAAATTAAAATATATTTATTCAAAAGGACCTTAAACTTGGGTAATTAAACCATAAAATTAAATGAGTAAAAAATGAACTTAAGTTTGGCCAATTAGTTAAAAAGAATTAAAAGGATTAAAGGCCAAAACCTAAGTTGGAAAAATTAACTAAAGCGCAGGTGGGGAAAAAATGTAAAAGTGAAGGAGAAATAAACACAGAGAATAAAGCTTAAAATAGCTAAAACTAAATGAATAAATAAAATGATTAAATAAGCATAGGAGAAATGATCAGAAATGGGGTTAGCACAAAAGGGTGTGGCTAACAAAAGAGATATGGGCAACTGGTACAAACGATTAAATAATTAGACGGTGCAAAAGATCACCAATAAAAAATCAAAAATATTTAATCAATTATGGCAAACGTCGCTTCCGCGACAAGTTTTTTAAAATTTAAAAATAAAACAATTTATATTGCATAAAAAATCCGGGTTTTCAAATTCTTGGCTACGCCGCAGCTGGCTCCCGGAGCCATACCCAGCACTGATCGGTTTATTAGAGGGGGTTCAGTCTAATAGAGAGTCGCACTATTAGAAGAAATAAGCTAATTATCAAAAGGTTTATGGAAGCAGCCATCGAGACCAATTTGTGTTTCGCCAAGGTGCTTTTATGAAAACAAACGTCCTTCGTTCCCGAGTATTTCCACCTGTCGACAATAATCAAAATATTATTGCTGGGGATGATAGGGCGAATATTTTTGTTGGTTTAGCTGCTTTGCATACTCTTTTTGTTCGGGAACATAATCGGTAACTTTATGAACAAAAAATTATTTTTTGTTGATATGTAATTGGGGTCTAACCAGCATGATTATAGAAAATTTTGAATTTATTTATTTAGACCCCTTAGTCTACTGAACCGGACTGAAAACCAGTGACTAGAACATCCTTCAAAAGTATTTGCTGAAAAATATTACTGTAAAGCATATAGCTATTTAATTCCTAAGGCTATGCAGAAGGCGGCGTGGAGTAATGGTTAACACATCAGTTTCGGTCTACTGATGTCAGTCCGGTCTACGCTCCCAGCCGCCGAACAACCTTTTGCACTAGCTAAAGGAGAGAAATAGCTATAGCCCAGTTGCTTTACTTTACTTCATTTATGGGATAAACTGGTTTAAGATTTTAACTCAAAACGGCCTCAAATATCCAAAAATCGTATCGTTCTCGGCTCATAACATGGTATTCCATTCCATATCCTATCCAATAAATACTGCCAAAACACAATTATAACTCGATGATACGGATTAATAATCGTTTGTGTTTAGCCCTACTTTATATTAATTAATCCGACGAAAGTTTTATTTAAATAACTGGATTTAAATGATAAACACTATTATATTTTTAATTTGTAACTTTCTATTTTTGGAAGCCAATTTTTCATTGGCTAATTTGTTTAGGGTTCCCCTTTTTATCATTTATTTTTTGGCTCTTAAAAAAATCTCGATAATAGGGAAAGAAATGAGAGAGAGAGTTTCTAAACTACTATACATATTTCCAAATTCTTCCATAATTTTTTTAATTTTAGAATGAATTTACATGTTGCGCATTTCGGTTTGGTCATGGAATGATTCAAGTTCCTTCCCTTTATGATTTAAAAATTAAAAATTTTTTTAGGAATTTTATCCTTTCTTTAATCAAGAATTTGCTCAAATTGGTAAAAAATATTTTCTAATATTTTTAATAATTTTTTATTTTTGGGTGGAATACCATTTAATGAAGGAATGTTTAAATCTGTCCATATTTTGTAAGGCAAAAAAATTTTTTGAGAAAATATTTTTATTTTTTAGAAATAATGGAATAGATCCTTTAGTAAGAGGTAATTTTTACTGAAAAAATTTCTATTTTAAAAATAATTTTCAAAAAAAAATATTTTTTAGGTTTAATGTCATTACCTGCTAGACTGCCACAAAGACTGACTGTTTCTGTAACTGAAAAGATTTTTGGAAATTCTGATTTGGGGTAAAAGTTTAAATTTAATTAAAACAATAAACCGGGGACCTTTCGGTTTGAGTTTCCTCGTCTATTTTTGAGAAATATTTTCAAACTTTTTGATATAAATTTACTAAAGTAATTCCAATTTACTCAGAAAACCATCATTTCGAGCTTAATATGAGAAATTTAAAAATAATTTTTATATTACTTCACTAAATCTCGTCATGTTACTACGTATATTTCGTGCCATTTTTATTATTTTTGTAAGCTAAACAGCACTTTAGCTATTTTAAGCTTAATTTTAAGCAAAAAAGCACTTCGCTCATTTTGTGTTGAGAAATTAATAAAATTTCTGAAAATTTAAATGTTATTTTAACCGAAAATTTCCAAGACGAAAGACTTGGACTTGTGGAACTATTATGTCATTGGGTCATCTAATTTCTACCCTTAAATTTACTCTGAGGTCTTTTGAGGGAATTTTGTAAAATTATCGCTAAATTGGCAAGCGGCAACCCAATAAAAATAGCTTAAAAATAAAAATTTAATTAATATAAGTATTTGAATTATATACTAATGAAAAATGCGATTCTTTTTTTAAATGATTTTTATATTATTTTTTTTTAATTTTTTGGAAGCTAGGCCTTTTTTACCTTAGCTAATATTTATTAAAGATTCTTTCATAAAACTCCCCTCAATTTCCAGTTCAATCAACATTCAACGAGGGAGAGACCACGGAATTCCTGGATATATTGCTTGGCGTAGTTTATGTAATTTGCCACATGTCAAAGACTTTGCTGATTTAAACACAACAATTAGTAATGAAATTGTGAGGGAAAACTTGAAAATTTTGTATAAAAAAGTTGAATTGATTGATATGTATGTTGGTGCTCTTTTAGAGGATCCTATTGAAGGGGCGCTTATTGGTGGGTTTTTGAAATTTAATGAGGATTTTCAAAAGATTTTACAAAAGTTAATATAAATGAGTCTACTAGGGGGTAGATGCAACGAACACCAGCTACTTTATCTAATTTTATCATTAATATGAAAATTCCAAAAAAATTCCGTAAAATTTAAATTTTGAATTATGCAATATAAGTTGAAAAATTCTTTGGTTTGAGTAATTATTTTTGTAAGCTAAACAACGCTTTAGCTATTTAATGGTAATGCCCATGCAAATTCCATTTTTTGTTAAAAAAATTTCTTTAATAATTTTTTTTTCTCGAGCTTTATGGGTTATCGAATGATTTGTTAACATTTTGGCTAATTGTTAAAATATCATCCCTTTAGATAAGGGGGAGATTTTAAAAATTACTTCCTAATTTTCTCATTTATTTCCTAAAAATTTTTAAGGTCCAACATTAGCTTGTGTTGTCTCAAAACAATTCAAGGCTCTGAGAGATGGTGATCGGTCAGTTTTACAAAAGATTAATTACCGTATTTCGTTTAAGATAATTTGATAATTTGAAACAAATTCGGCTCGTTTTTCCCATTTTCCCATTTTTTATCAATATTCCTTTTTGTCCCAATATCTAATTTTCTATACGAAAAAGTTAGGGTGGAAAAACGGGAATTAAAATACTATCAAAAATAATCCTTTTTATTTGATTGTAGGCAAAAATTAGAAAGATTTTATGGAAGAAAGGAAAAAGTCTGACCATTTTTAAAAATATAGGCTGAAAATTGAGGAGGAAAAAAGGGGGTCTGTCCGCATCAATACATATTACTCCCATTTCTTCCAAGAATTAAAAATTAAACTTTTGTCCTATTCTGTAAATTTTCTTGTAGAATTCACATCAAAATTTCTAAACAAATAAATTTATTAAATTATTCTTTTTTTCACAGATTTTTCTACGAGAACCCAGACATACTTTCCAGTGAACAAATAAAACAAATAAAACGTGCAACTCTAGCTAGAATACTTTGTGATTCTGGCGATTCTATGAAAAAAGTTTGTAAATTTGTTTTTTTAAAGGCTTTTTTCACTCATTAGACAAAGTCTAGAAATTTCCAAAAAAATTAAATTTTAAAAGATTTTAAAAACTAGATAATAACCGTCTATCCTGAAATTTTGAACTTATTAATTAATACAATTAATTACTTATTTATTTCAATAAATTAACAGTTAATTGGTCTTTCGTCAGAAGCATTTAATTTTTTGCATGTCTAAATATTTAAATTAGACAAATTTATTAATTGGGACCTTTAATTTTTATCCAGCTGGTGATCGGAAAAATAAAAAAATCGGATTCTTAGACATTTGATTAAAAATCAAATAATTTGTATTTTTGATTTTCGCTACCAGTTAAGTTTCAGATCCAAACTTAAAAAAATTTTTTTATCAAAACTTTGTGTTGACCGATTTCTAATTAATTCTTTCAGGTACCCAGACATGCATTTAATCAAGCAAAGGCTGAAGACCTAATTAATTGTGACCAGATTGATTCACCAAATTATTTTAAATGGAAGGAAGACCAACTTGGGATTTAAATAATTTTTCTAAATAATTTTTCATTTGTCCCAATTTTTATTTTCAATATAATTTTTATACAATTCTAAAAAGTTTCTCCAATGAAAACCTTACCTATATTTACGACGCGTAAATTTTTTTTATTAAATTTCCACTACTGACCAGTAAGTTATTAATAGGGTGTACGGAATTTTCGTCTTTGGAAATCTCGTCTCCATGACTTTTCGGAACTTTCGTCTCCAACATTTTCGGAATTTTCGTCTCCAGCGGAATTCTCGTCACCAAGGAAATAATCGGAATTTTCGTCTCCGCAATTTTCGTCTCCGCTAGGAATTTTCGTCTCCAGTCCCCCGTTGACGGAACACTATCCCCCGTTTCGGAACAACTTCCCCCGTTGACGGAACACTATCCCCCGTTTCGGAACAACTTCCCCCGTTGACGGAACACTATCCCCCGTTTCGGAACAACTTCCCCCGTTGACGGAACACTATCCCCCGTTTCGGAACAACTTCCCCCGTTGACGGAACACTATCCCCCGTTTCGGAACAACTTCCCCCGTTGACGGAACACTATCCCCCGTTTCGGAACAACTTCCCCCGTTGACGGAACACTATCCCCGTTTCTGAACAACTTCCCCCGTTGACGGAACACTATCCCCCGTTTCTGAACAACTTCTCCCGTTGACGGAACAACTCCCACGTTGATGGAACAACTTCCCCCGTTGATTAAACATTTATATAGGGGGAAGTTATTCAACGGGGGAAGTTATTCCGAAACGGGGGATAGTGTTCCGTCAACGGGGGAAGTTGTCCTGACAACGGGGGAAGTGGTCCGTCAACGGGAGAAGTTGCTCCGTCAACTGTAAGTTTTTCTCTTGAGACGAAAATTCCTAGCGGAGACGAAAATTGCGGAGACGAAAATTCCGATTATTTCCTTGGTGACGAGAATTTCGCTGGAGACGAAAATTCCGAAAATGTTGGAGACGAAAGTTCCGAAAAGTCTTGGAGACGAGATTTCCAGAGACGAAAATTCCGGCACCCATTAATAGGGCTCGGATTTATATTTAAATAGGGCACAAAAACGACCTTGGTCATGAACAAGCCTTGACTGACCGGTGTCTGACTATTGAGTTCGGCTCCGGTACAAAATATGGAATCGTTAAAATATGGAATGGTTAAAATCGCGAATAGGCTAAAAAGGGGTTAAAATACCGAATCGTTAAAATATGGAATCGTTAAAATATCGAATAGGCTAAAAAAGGGTTAAAATATGGAATCGTTAAAATATGGAATGGTAAAAATGTCGACACGGCCAAAATAAGTCAAAATGTCGAATTTCTTTAAAAAAGGGTCAAATGAGTGCCATACGTTGATTGTTGATAATTTTATCAACTTATCAACTTACTGCTGATAAGTTGGTTAATAACTTTGGTAGGTCGTAGTCCGGCGTAATCTTTTCTGCCAGAGTTCACTGTACTTTACCGAGTAAAACCGGACCGGATAAATCAAGCATAATCGACCGAATCCGGTCCGGCATGAACGTGCGGATCCGGAAAACATAACGCGATCCTGATACGAAAAAATTAGAGTATCGTGCACTTGTTTTTAGTAAAGACCTAAATTTTGTACCTTACCGTATACGGTACGGAATACCGAAAAATACCTATTAGCTTTTAAATTTTATCGGTCGGCATTCCTTACCGTACTACCGACACGGAATACCGAAAAATACCGTCGGTATTACGGTACCGACCGGATTCTAGTTTTGGCGCCATTTTTAAAGAAATTCGACATTTTGACTTATTTTGGCCGTGTCGACATTTTTACCATTCCATATTTTAACGATTCCATATTTTAACCCATTTTTAGCCTATTCGATATTTTAACCATTCCATATTTTAACGATTCCACATTTTAACCCCTTTTTAGCCTATTCGCGATTTTAACCCACTTTTACCCGATTCGAGATTTTAACCCTTTTTTAGCCTATTCCATATTTTAACGATTCGATATTTTGTCCGGACACGATTGAGTTCTAATAGAAGAAAGACAGAAATGACCGGTGATAGATTAATAAAAAAATGGAGAGACAGTGTTCAGTTCGCGGGCAGGGCCGCTTCAGTGATTTATTTAAATATAAATCCGAGCCCTAGTTATTAAACCCTATGGAAGAACCAATCATTTTTGGTATATTTTTAATTATAACTGTCACAGATTTCCAAAATTCCCAGAATCCATCAGCCCTGGCCTGAATTCTTAGGTTGGTATGGACAAAATTCTAGTGTTGGGAGTCTCCGTCATTGTAGCTAGGCTAAAAATGATTTCTAGTTCCGAATCAGTCCAAAAATATTTTTATATGTACCGAATTAATTATCTTCCATACATATGTATGACAAAATATAATGTAATAACTTTTCTCTAAAATAAACATATTATGCTTTCTCCGTCAAGAGAATTTAAATTCTCCGTTCTTAAATTCTCCGTTAACATAAAATCGGGATCTTCAGCTCGCGTCTTTCTTAAGATATACGCGTTATTTTTACTTGCCCAAGGATTATAATGTTTATTTTAGAGAAAATTTGGCATTTATTTATTTCATTTATTAAATACTTTAAAATTTTGTACTCTAATTTTTAAAATATTTTTTATAATTCCCCTCCGTCTAAATTTTTGCTCAAAATTATTTAAACCCATTAAACTAAATAAAAATTATTTTTTTGTATTTTTCTTTTCGAATAATTAATTAAAATAATTTAAATTTATTTTTGATAAAAATTTTAAATTTACCTAAATTATTGAAAAATCTTTTTATTTTGCTTTAGATTAATTAATTAATTTAGGATTTTATTTATCTTTCTTTTTTATTGAAAGACATCAATCGACTACTTGGTTTGATGCCCGTATATTTTTGGAAGCTCTTCCTACTTGGGCTAATTATCAGGATTTTCGTTAATTTTTAATCTTCTTAGATTTTTTGTCTTGTGGATTCCAGTTCCAGTCCAGTACACTCTGTTTCATTCCTATTTTATCATATCTCATTGAAAAAGCATCGATATTTTTTTTAAGTTTTTTTCAAGCTCAAAGGCTTATGAGGCTTCATTGGACTCACAAACTAGACCGTTGTCAATATTTTATTAAATCTGAATCCACACTTTCTCTTTAAATTTAAATTGTTTTTTAAACTTTAGTTCAACAAACAACAACTACAACATCCACAAACAACTACAGAAGCCTCAACTGAAACAACAACACTAGACTGAGAAAAACAAATGTTAAAATCGGCTGAACGTTCATCTTTACTAAATAGAAAGCCAACCAGAAAAAGAGTTGCAGGAGAATGCAACGATTTACATGGTTGGGAATTTTGTTTGAATTATTTTTAAATTTGATGTTTTGTTGGTCATCTCTTATTCCTAATGATAGTATTTATATAGATCCCATATTGCTGGTCTCTTTGGGTTCTGCACAGTTCGATACTACTGTATTAATGATAGTACCGAATCAAGGGATTTT